GTTGGGCTTTAGGACTCTGGGACTTTTAGCTTACGAGCAGCGGCAGCGGCAGCGGCAGCAGCTGTAGCAGTCCGCAGCAACAACAAGGATGACTCTGGCTTAAATGGCACTTATGAGCTTATGCCACAACTTACATTATTATTATTACTCCGATTTTTTCTTATTCTTGTTCAAATGCTTCTTCGTGCCACACAATAAATAGTTATAGACTGGAGAGACCACCAACAGAGCGAGAGAGAGAGAGAGAGAGAGAGAGAGAGGGAGCTAGTTTTGTTTAATTAAGGCACATTAAGTGGAATGTTTTACGAGGCCTGGGTGTGTTGCTTCTCTCACTCTCTATGCAACTGATCCAGAAACTTAAATTATCGAAAGTTCAGCTAAATCAGATTTATGCCCGTGCTGGGGGAGTCATTAATGACGTTGGCAGATCGGCATTGCCATTTTAGATGTAATGGCATGGGTTGGGCTCGGATTTCCCCACCAGAATCAATCAACAACGCTTGAGCGGCAAATTCCGAAATCCCAACACACTCTCGGTCATTATTGTAAAAAAAATTAAAGCAGAGCTCTCGCATGTCATAAGCGTTAAATTCAATTTGAGTTTTACAAAATTTGTGTGTGTGTGTGTTGTGTGTGTTTGTGTGCTTTTGTTGTGCACTGTTTGACAGTTTTTGCAGCGCTCTCAATCAGCACTTGTTAGAACTTTTTAGTGTGCTGTAAAATAAACATGAGTACGAGCATAGAGTTGGTGGAATGAAATGAAATTTAATAAATGCAGTGCGTTGGTCTGTGTGGTACTGAGGATGGAGACAGAGAGTGGCAACAGGAGAGGCAGCATGACATGCACTTCATAAAACTTTGCTCATATAAATTGAAATTGAAATGAAATGATGATGCGAGAGCTGCCACGTTGATATCTGAGTGTGTGTATCTATGTATATGTGTATCTGTGTATCTTTGTTTGCGCCATTGCTGGTGAGAGTTGACAACCAGCGAGGAGAGCTTTGTGGAGCTTCTCCACAATGACTGCCTGTAAAAATTTGTTGGCCAAACAACAAGTAGAGCAAAAGCAGCAGTGGCAGCTGCAGCAGCAGCAGCATCAGCAACAGCCTGAAAAACAACTTAAACTGTCATTCGAAAGTTTGAGGCAAAGCTGGAGAGTATACTCCATCGGAGGCACCGGAGAGGTATTAAAAAACTTTTCTCGGAGCAATTATGTGAAGGCTACTTAGCTTCTTTTCAGTTATTTTTTTAGCAGGCAATACATTTTCCCTTCAACCAGAGCTCACCTACCTGAACAGCCCTGAACGGCGACACAATTTTGTTGCACACACTCCACACTCCACACGACTCCGGTTCTTGTGTTGAGGCTCGGATTCGGGTTCGGGGGTTATTTTTTCGGGCCTGCAGCTCACTCATAGAATTTTGCCAGTGCATGTGCAGAAATTCAATTAGCCAGCCATGCGTGGTGAGCTGTGGAGAAGCAGTTTGCCACTTGGCATGCCATTCAGTTTTGGGGAATGCTTTGAAGCCAGAGAGACAGATACATTGCACATTGGCCGTGTGTGTGTGTCTATGAGAGTTTATGTGTGGTTGCGACAGGCTGCCTGCTGCTTCTGCCACTGCTGCTCCTGCTGGTGCTGCATACTTGCCTCAATTACGCCGAAAATGTCACATTAATTATTGGCATTTATGGGGTTTGCGCTGCTTTTGATATGATAGACGACCATGCAGGCCGAAATTCGAAGTCTACCTTACGGCGAGCTCCGCCTGCTATTGTCGTTTCTTCGAGTGTGTGTGTCTGTGTGAATGGCATCTTCATGCGTGTGTGTGCGTACGGTTGTATTAATTGAAATTTGTTTTTGTATGTCAGCTGCAAGAGAACACGCTGCTTCTGCTGCCTCTTCCGATGCTGCTGGCTTTTGCGGCAATTAAAAGTTAATGTGACAAAGCGAGACATTCGAATTAATTTTGAGTCTAAACGACGTTTTAATTCAATTTATGTTTTTGGCAGCACAACTTGACAATGCCATGCCCCGAGTTGAGTGGGTTGATTGAGTCTTATTCAAGATATGCGGTATGGTAAATATTATCTGGCAATCAAAGATTTTCGCTTGAAAATTTCTTTATCTTTTCAATATTATTTGGAGCCATATTTGGATATTAATTCACTGCCTCTCCAAAATCCTGCTCTGCCACCATTTCACCCCCATTAGCAATTACTTAATGACAGGTTCCAGTTCCAGCGATTAGGCCGAGGCCCGCTTTAAGCTGGAAAAGCCTCTGGCCTCTGAGCATCATTGCCAATGCCAACTCGGCGCATTCAAAGTCAACTTATGCCAACTGTCTGTCAGCAACAAGAGCCAGTCCGCAGTGTCCTAGCCTGGCCTGTCATGGCCTGAGCTCCACACACATGCTGCTACTTATGCAAAATGCTCAGCTCTGCCACTAGACGACACCCCTTGCTGCTGCCATATACTCGGGTAAAGGGATGCTTTGATTACCGCCAGAGTCAGTGAAGGGGTACGTGGAGGCACACACAATTGTGTTGATTGCACAGATGACAAGACGTAGGACGAGATGACAACTTTGCTGCCTTGCAAGCCTTGATGACAATGAAGTGCATGCATGAATATTCTAATCAAATGAGCCACCAGCCAGTGTCCCGGCCAGATCTCTGTCTCGGTCTGGGTCTGGGTCTGGGCTTGAGTCTGCCTCCTGCCCACTGTCGAGATAGAAAATTTGCCAGTGTCTATGGCTGCTTACACCCGGAGAAAAAACCAGTGTCAAACGCTTTCAGTCTAGTTCATGTCTAATCCCCATTTGGTGTTTAATTTCGCTCAGTGTGGCGGGACACCACATGCTTTGTGTTTTGTGCTGGCAAAAGTTTCAAAGTCAGTTTAAGCCGCTCCCTCAGAAAAACCTTGCCTTTACCTCGTTTCATTTCATTCACTCACTGAAATCGAATTTGCATAATTTAACATGATGGTTGCGCTTATTCCTGTTGCCTGTCAGACACAAACACACACACACTTTCACCTACGACTCGGACAGAGTTGAGCAGGAGCAGAAGCAGAAGCAGATGGAGCACCTCCTTGGTTATTATTGTTGGTTGGGCTGTCCTCCCATTCAGCGCCACCGCATTCTGCTGCCACATGCATCATCATTTGCATACATTTGCAGGTCGCTCAGTCAGTCAATGTTCATTCCTCATTACTTCGTTCGTTTTTCGCTTGTCCCTGTTTGCCTTTTTCCCCGCCTAAGCTGACACGATTTTACTTGAATATAATTCGCGGAGCTGCGTGGAAACGAAACCGGAGGAGAAGTGGTAGAAAGAAAGCATTGACGTTGATGGATTTTGGCACTTACACAGGCTAGCGCCTGTCACTTCACCCCAGAGCCTGCTCCTTCTCTGTCTCCGCCGCCCAAAAAAGCAGCTCCAGAACTGCTGACTTTGAAGCGCATTTTAATGAAGAATGATATGTTGGCATCGCAGCCACAACAGCCACAATCGACCCACTGCTCCGTCACCGCTACCGCAACCACCTCTATCGACTGACAGCTTTCGCGGCTTTGAACTTTGCACGCCGGTAGCTGTCGAACTTGAAGGGCGACAGTTAGTTTTCCCACTCAACGGGATGCGAAGTGAATGTAACATAGAAACTTAAATAGAACTTAAAATACGTTTCAAATTATGTGGAGGCTTTGTCAAAAATTTGTGTGGGGCATTACTGCGAGGAGGGCGGGAAATGCCTCTACAGAGATATTCCAGCACTTCAAATTTGTGGCACTTGTGGCATCAATTTTATTTCGCTATTGTGTCGTAGGACAAGTTTGGCTTAAAGAATGCCTGAAGCAGCGATTGGGGGCTGCAATCTCAGGAGCTCTGTGTCGCTCTCCATTCAACATCCAAAAAAAATATGTTTTCCTCTCTACCCTCCGCAGTGGTTTTCTATGCATAGTGTCACATGGCCGCGTGACACGCCCCTTCCGAGTGTCTTTTCATGCATATCAAAATGGCAACAATAAACGCCAACAAAAGAACAGAAATAACAAACATTAAAATGAAAATACACACGAACCCGGGGAGGGAATGGAGAGGTATTCGGGGGTATACGATACACAACAGGCGGCAGTCAAAAATGTTGCAAATGTAAGCAAAATAAAAATATATATAACAAAGATACAAACAAACACACAGATACACTGTGTGTTTATGTGTTTGTAAAACCAAAACTTTTGACATAATAAAATGGAATGTTATTGTTAAAAAAGTTACTTGCATATTAAAACAAACGAAACTTTTCTCCCGCACTCTGTCCTTCTCTGGCTCTATCTCTCTCTCTGTCGCTGCTTTTTTATGCCCTGTCTTTGTGTGTATGAGTGGCATTTGCAAGTAACAATACTCTCACACAGATAGAGACGCATAAACAGAGGCAAATGCAAATGGCGAGCGTGTGAAACGAGCAGCGCTGTCAAAAGCAAACAACTTTAATTGAACTGTTTACCCGATTTTTATTTTATGCCACCTAGAAGCTCACACCCCTTCCCACGATCTTATCCAAGAGCACTGTAATTGTAAGGGTTATGTGTGTAATGATTATTTGGCTCGTTGCACAGCTTCCAACATGGCTGGGCCATTATCAGCTGGGCCATTTGCCAGGGCAGAGGGCCCAGAATGTGCTTCTCGGTTTCAGCTATAGGATATGCTTGAAATATGCAGATTCCTAAATATACAGTTTATAAAAAGATGCTAGATAATCTACACACAATCAAAACTAATACCAAAAGTCACGTTCAACAAAATCGCAAAATTGGTAATCAATCAATGGAATAAAACTGGCAATTACAACGGATAACGAGCTGAACACGTTACGTATACTTGATATAAACAGTATAAGAAACAAATAAATAAAGGAAACAGGAAATATGTAGTATAGCAATAGATATAGATGTAGATGTAGTTTATGTATAAATAAATATCTGGGGGCTGTACTCACCTTTGCTCGTACCGTCCGGGCCCCGCAATATGGTGCACTCCTCTATAGAGCCAAACGGGTGGAAGATTTGTCTAACATCGTCTTCGGTCTGTTGTTTGCTGAGCATGCCAACGAAGAGTTTGCGATCTAGATGCTCTATTTTGGGTTCGGTTTATGGTTTTTTGGTTGTGGTTCGTTTTCGGTTTCAGTTTCGATTTCGTTATGTTTTGTTCATGTTTCATGTAATGTTATGATCGGATTGAATCGAAACGATCGAGTTGAATCGGATTGATTGATTGATTTCGATTTTTCAGGCACCAAAAGAGGCAGCAAAATGGATAAATGGCAATGTGGCAGTGTCAATGTGGGTGTGCGATTGTTTTATTTTTTTTTAGAAAATTAAAATTTTTTAATCAGGACCCATAGCCAGAAAATGTTCGCACAAAATTAAAATGAAAACAAAAAATTAATTCAGAAAAAGAATAAGTGTTCATTGTTTTTTTTTGTATATTGGTATATGTATTTGTATCATATTTAGGAATGCAAATGTAAATGTAACAAGGTTACATAATACGTGGCACATATATTTTCGTTTTTTTTTAGTTAATTTTTTGTTGTTGTATGTTTTTGTTTTTGTAACGAGTAACGAGAACGAGGCAGGCACATTTATGTAATTGTGAGTTTTTTTATAATTTCAAAGATTTCAACAGGCGCAAAATACCCAAAGAAAAGTAAAAGCAACAACATTTAGTTAACGAGAGATTTTTGTTGGTGTTTCGGGTGGATATTTTGAGCACCAATAGAGCAAATACATTTACAACATTTATTAATGTGGGGTAACGGGGTTCGGGTCATGGGTAGGAATTATAAATTTGGATTATTAAAAGCGGAACAAATGGTTTTCATAATTATTTTGTTTTGGTTTGAGGAAATTGTTGCATCAAGAAAGAAAAATATTGTTTTTAGAAAAATTCAAACCGAGTCGAAACAAATCAAATAAAAGGAAAGTAATACAGAAATTTCGGAAAATCATAAGTAGAAGAATTGTCAGTTTTCCAATTTTTGCCAATTTTGATGTATATATTTTTTTCCGTTTTCAATCATATATATTTTTTTTTTGTTACAGAGCACGTACAAGTGTTACATAAAAAGGAAAGAAAAGAAGACAAAAATGGGTGATATTTAGTTAAAGTTTTCGCACAAATTTGTTTTTTGTTTCTGTTTAACTTATAACTTACGAGAATAGAAATTGTCAAATGATTGACAGTAATAATTGGCTAGATATGTATATACGTATACGGTATGGTGGTATGTTTAAATATATATAGAACAGCCACTGGCACGCACACAATTACGAGCTGGCTACGGAATTAAGGATAGACATTGAGGGGGAATAGAAAACGTTAGCCACTACTTGGAAAATATATGGTAAATATATGCTGGGAATCAACAAATGCATAGCTTAATTATACTTACGGACTACCGAGTACTTAGTCTAGACTAGACTATACTAGAAAGCGGTTCAAAGGGAGGAAAATGGGGATCAATAGATTCGCTTAAGTCTAATCTACTGGGATGTGCTTGGAAGGATAGACCCAGATTGGGGACTGCTTCCAATCCTTTCCCTTACCCTTTGGAAGCCCAAACACCATTTAAGCTTCTATTTGGAGCTCTGAGGTCTGGCCTTACGTATCATATCGAAAATTGAGCATCACATAATTGGCAAAACACTTGGCACACGGGCAGTCCTTGCACGGGTAGACAAGGAGCCCGCCGCACAGCTGCTGTCGCGCTAAAGTGGCAAAAGCAATCGAAGTAGAAAATAACTAATACGACACGTTGGACCCATGCATGCACACATGGCCTGCAGGCAATTGTCTTGTGTCCGGGTTAAGCCTAATGGCATTTGGGTCCCGTTCTGGCCTTTTACACTTTCGCCCCACCCTGAGCACGTGCAATAAGCCAAACAGCGCTCCTGGCATGCTAAGCAACAAAACGAAGAGGAGTAGGAGAAAAGGGTTGGCTTAATAAAAATGTAAAGCACGTTGGCTGAGAGTGGGTTGGGTCGGAACAGACGGGATGAGAAGCATTGGTCAGGGGCTGGCTGGGAAATGGTAAAAATAATGCAGCATGCTTTGCGGCGCCTGCTGTTGTACATATGAAATGGCATAGTTCAACTGGCTGTTAACAGTTGCGGCCAAAAAAACCAAAGAGAGTTAGAGAGCGAAAGGTGGCTAAGGAACGAGCATACATAGACTGAAGAGGGGGAAATAGAGCCAAGTAGACAGAGGAGACACGAGAGCAGGACAAAAGGATTTGCACAATGTTTAGCCTGGCGTTGCAGCAATTTTCTACAATTACCTGGGGCCCAACGACAGAGACCGACTGAGCGACCGACCGAGCGACCGGCAGGGATAAAATGCACACAGGGCTTTCAGGGATTCCCTTTTGGCTGTTTCAGTTTTTTTCAGCTCCTTCCCGTGTCGCTTCTTTTTTTTCGGTCTCCTCGAGCTAAAGGAAAGAGCAGTGAAAATAATATTAAAGGCCATTAGGCTCATATAGACAAGTTAAGTGGCTCCTGGTCTCCATCCTTGTTCGTGATTCCTTTGCCGGCCATGTGTGGCAGTGTTTAGATTTTATGTTCATGCCTGCTCCTCTCGTTCCATATCCTCGTTGTCTGTTGCCTAGGCAAAGGGGCAAAATAAGTCATTAACGTGTCGTTGTCTTTGATGCTGTCGTCAAAGGATGGCTTGGGCAGGGGGCTTGTAGAACCGAGTCGAGTGGCACAGGCAAAAAGAAAACCAAATTAAATTAGTTAACCACATGGCAACTTTTGTATGTGCCACGGCAGGAGGCAAGGACAGGCCACTAATTGTTGCATGTTATGTTTTTGCTTATCTCCCTTTGTGCTGCCTTGCCCCCCCCCACCCTCCCCCGGGGGGAACGTAATTGTATTTTAAGACCTAGCGAAAGCCAAAGGTGGAAGCGCCAGTTGCCTCTATAAATTATACAAAAAACTGTAGAGACAGTGGAGACAGCGGCGCCAGAGGAAAAAAAAAGACTAAACCGAGAGTCGCTGACAACGCAAGAGTCAAAGCTCAAAGCACATGTCTCATTCCCACCCTGTTCTTTATTCTATTTTTTACTGTACCAACTGGCTGGCTATCTGGATGGCTGGCAGGGTGGCTTGTTTTGCTGTGCACCGTTGCCAATTGACATGTAAATTGACATTTAATGGTTGCTAATGAGCGTCTGAGGATTAGTTCTCAATCCCAGAGCGTGGCACTCAAAGCAGAGAAGAGAAGAGAAGAGAAGAGAAGAAGGAGTCCAAGCAGAATAAATTAGGGCAGGTTAATGAAGGAGTTTCTGTTGATTCTGTTGGTGAATGAATGCAGAAGATGCCACAACTTTCACATTGCTGGAATTTTCCTGTCCATGGCTTAAATTATTGTCTGCAAACCCCTTTGGCATTCGAGGCGTCTGGCCTCTGATTGCAGCTAATAAATCATTAAGCAAACAAATAAATACTCCATTAATTTTCACAGCTTAGTCAGAGCTCGGAGAAGGAGCTAGGACCTGACAACTGAGATCCTGCCATAATGCGACCAATTCATATCTGAAAAGGCCTTAATCTGATTACACCAGATAGCTCAGAATGCAATGCAAACATATTTAAGTTATTAATTATTTTCTGGGGATTTGCTTGCTCTCAACTCTCTCTCTGTTATGATTGCAAAACTTTGTGGGACATGAGTGCTGGTTTCGAATAATATTTGCTTGGCAAAAATTGATTGAAATGTGAAGGCATCATAGTCTCAACGTCTCCATTTAATGCTGCTGCTTATGCTGGTTTGTATCTTTGTATCTGGAGTTGTCTGGCCAGTGCATTCGACTACGTTTATTTTCCAATAAATTATTGAAATTGTAATTACTTAGGCAGGAAATGGGTAAATGAGCACCAATCCGTATACTTAATATTTCCCCAAACGCTTACATCAGCACAGCCAGCACAGCCACAGCTGCTGCTATTATGTTGATGTTTTTCCTTTCTGCTGGTAATGAAAATTTAATTAGAATTATGTACATTGATTAAGTGAAGGGCAACAGTCTGAGCCCCGGACTTGAGTAGTTTTTCATTTGCATTTTTCTATATTTTATTAGTGGACCCCTCTCTCTCTGTCTGTTTGATTGATGATGTGCCTGCTTTGCTGGATGAGCGAGGAGGAGGAGTGGGAGTGCCTGGTAAAAGGAAACTAATTAATATGTAATTAGTGACACTCATTTGACATGTAACGAGGCTAATGTAAAAATCTCACAGATTCTTAGATCAGGATAGAAATGGAAAGGTCCTGGAGGAAGGAACTCCACTCTCAGATATATTCAAAATGCAAATGATTCCTATAGATTTCTGCCTTATGTAGGGGCTGAATCATCCGGAATCAGCATCAGCTGCTGTTCCATAAATATTACCGGCAATTGTTATGCTTCATCTCATCTGGATAGGGGGACACAGTTAAGCGTCGCTGCAGGCCACATCCCATTTTTATGGCACTCAGACAGACAAAGGGAAGGGATGACCATCCCTGCACAGCCAAAGCGTCGGAGGTCTCAGTATTTATACAGCAAATAAGCTAAATTTTTCTTTTATGACTCCCAGAACGGTCCGGATATGAAGACGTGAACGGGGACGGCGACGGAGGCTAGCAGTTGGTGTCGTTTCTCGACAATTGTGTGGCAATTCTTAAAAGTCTCCCGAGTCGTCCCATTCCATTACGTTCCGTCTCGTGGACAACTTGACGCTTATATATGACTAGAGATAAGTCAGGACGTCAGGCAGGCATTTTCCAGCCCCCCGGAGGACGTTGAAACCGAAAAGTGCAAGGCCTGTGCTCGGTGGCTTTTGTTGCCATTGTGGCGGAGAATCCTGTGGGTCTCTTTCTGACTTTCTACTTTCCGACTTTAAGAGACGTGTTTATTTGTCAGTTTGAAATTCTTGAGTAATAAGCGTAAAACTCGACTGTAGGCTGGGGACAAACCCTGCAAATGACACTACAGCTGAACCCGGCTAATGAAAAGTGGAATGGAGTTTATCCAAAGTCAGAAGTAAATTAGTTATTAGCCTTGTAAGTAGTTCACAAAGTTCCTGCTCAAGTCGC